ACTAAAGACCTATTGCCCTGCTCTTGGGAGTGGTACGTGCACACAGCCTTATTCTGTTAGGTTTCTTAAATACCTGCCTCCCGTGGCAGAGTCATCTACCATACAGACATACTAGCTTCCCTAATTATTCCTCAGTGAGAGTTGCAACATTGTAGAATTACTTTAATGGGTCATCTCCAATCCAGATCTCAGGTTGCCACCAATATTGCTGTTCCACTGTTTAACTTTCCCTCTCTGCTGACTCTGCTCTTCTCTTGCCAAACTTTGACAAAGTAGAAAAGTCCTTCAAAATCTCCTAATTCTAAAAAATGTCTGTCAGATATTCTAGGCCTATAGGCCAAAAATGGATGCCCAAACATTTTAGAGGAACTTTGGGTGAGTGTCCAGGCAGCCAGATATCCCTATTATTAGGTAGTAGGACATTCTTCTGTGATTGGTGGGATTAAAAACAAAATAAACTTACAGTTTTCCTTAGTTATGATAAAAAGCAAATTAGGTATAAAAAAGACTCACAAAGGTAAGATGGACAATAGAACATTTTCTCCAAATTTGCCAAATATAAATGGACTGGATATAGTAACTGTAATTCTTATTTGATAACTGTTTTTGTTGTATAGTTTTACTATATTAAAGTTAAACCCTTTCTTTTTAATTAGACTAAAAGGAGAAAATGTAGAATAATCTTTTTGTACAGGTGAGGATGTGTTGCTCTCATTGTTTTAATAAAGAGCTGAATGGCCAATAGCTAGGTAAGAAGTGGTTAGGTGGGACCTGCAGACAGAGAAAGCACTGTGATGAAGAAGGGTGGAGTCACCAGGAGACTGGAGAAAGCAAGATGAACATGTTGTGCTAAGGAAATGTACTGAGCTATGTGGTAGAACATAGATAAGAAATACGGGTTAATTTAAGTCATAGGAGCTAGTTAGTAACAAGTCTAAGCTATCGGCCAAAATCTTATAATCAATAAGTCTCTGTGTTATTCATTGAGGTAGCTGAAGGTCCCCACCAAAAAACCCACCTACAGGCTGGAAGAGGGAAGAATTGCATCTGAACTGAATATGTGCACCTTGTCATCATTTCCTCAATTCCACCTTTATATATCAGTATTATAAATAAAACTGATGGGTATGCTTCAATTTCTGAAGAACTTTTTGAAGATTTTTGTCTTTTAAATATAGAACACTAATCTGCACCAATGGTTAAAAAGCAACAAGAGATATTCTGATAATGGTACATATCTGTCACTGTGTTGTATCAGTGCCACAGGAACAAAACCAAGCTGTATGCATTATGTTTCCCTTGGCACATTAAATTTATTAGCATGATGCTTCAACAAATCTCTTTAACAATCAATGCTGTTAACATGACTATAAACTTGACCAAATTGATCAAGAGTGGTAGGAAAAAATGGTCCTTTAAAGCAAATACTATGAAAATGAAATATATCTCCATTAACTAAAATGATGCTTTAGAAATGTCAACAAATTTTAAATTTTAAAATTGGAATATTAAAATGGCAGTGGGCCCTTTTTAAAATGTATCTTTACCACATGGCTCTTCTAATCAACTGGTGTGTAGAAGGAATCGTTTCTCAGAATGAGGACTTGGTAAAGTAACTGAAGTACTAGAAGGAATGAGCGTCTTGGAGTGGCATACAGCAGCAGTCTTATTTCCTGTCGTTACATCCCATCCTCGGGTCTGCTAAGGTCCCCTCGCTTGAAGACCATTCTTTTATTGTCTAGACTTACTAATCAGAATTTCACTCATGTAGGTTTCATTAACCTCAGAACCCACTTATTCTACATAGAAACTCTCTTGGTGGGGTAGTTTGGGAGGAGTGTGCCACATACAACTCTGTCCTTTCTTTTCCTACCCTTGGGATAACATGTATATGAACTGCCCTACCTTCTCCCCTCTCAATATCATTGTTAGTTGAATTGCCTACTTTACTCAGTCTATCTGTCTGTAACAACCCATTTTTCTCTCTATCTACCTATCTCTATATATCACATCAATCTCATCTATATTTCTCCATATTCTCCTCTACCAATTATGTCTTTTAATATCCAACTATTTTTCTGTGAAGACAAAGACAAGTTCATGGGTATACAACCCATGCAGTTTCACTGTGCCTTTACGTGGACTCCCACACTTGTTTGGCGCTCTTAAGTCAATGTTCTAAAATCCTTAATAATTTCTGCCTTTGTGTCATGTATATAAAGTAAATGGGACAGTATATCATGTTCGTAAGCCAAGGTATGTTTGCAGTAAGTGCTTTTATTGTCCTTTGTGGGCATGCTCTGGATTCTGGTAGCCCTCTGATTCATCAAAGTTTGGCAAGATACATAAAGAATACAAGGTAAAGATGGCAAGTTCATGCCTGAATCTTTACACTTACAGCCATATGTTCTACTTGCGAACTTGTGGTGAAAGACGAAAATCACCAAGGATCTTAAAAATAATTACATAGAAACAGAGGCAAAGACAATGAAACTCATACTTGCTTTTTCTTTCAGACATCAAGCTACAGTAAGTGGAAGGCGTAGTGTTAACACACTATGTAGCTATTAAGCTGTGCAATTAAGATGGGCTAGCAAGGTGGTTCTGCAGTCAGGGCTACTTGCTGCAAATGACCTTAGTTGGTCTTCTGAGGACCCACACTGGAGAAGGAGAGCACTATTCCCAAAAGTCATCATTTGACATCCATATACATAACATCTGAAGTCATCATCTGGCCTTCTGATTGCACACACACACACACACACACACACACACACACACACACACACACACACACACACACACAAAGTGTAATATATGCTAATTTGATGAATTGTTCTGACAAAAATGAAATATGTGCTCATCTATGAGCCATAAAGCACCAATTACAGAACTGTATTTATTCACATATTGAATGTTTCGTTCATACTTGAAATTGCCATTTTATAATATAAATAGTAAATTCATATTAGTAAATAACTTTCTTCACTAGAATGATATAAAAATTAAATATGAAAAATAGCATGATGTTGAGCGTTTCATGGAATTAAGAAAAAGTGTTATGCTTTAGTATCTTTAATCACAAACATTTATTTTGAATTAGGAGAAATTTATTTTTAATCTGTATTTTCTTCAAGGAAAACATAAACTGTTTCAACTGCCCCATATGTTACACAGATTTGAATTGTCTGGCATTCGAAGTAAGGTATCCTTGTGTTTTCTGGGCTGCATTTGAAATCTAACCATTTCATTGCCAGGCAATCTGTTTTAGTGATCAAATAATGAACTGACAAACTGTATTTTGTCCCATACTCTTTTTGTAGATCAAAACTACTTGATTTTAGATTACTTTTATATGTTCAAATGTAGTGCTTGAGATACTGAATTTGTTACCTGGATGGAATTTTTTTAATGTTTTACAAATCTATCCCTTGGTTTGGACTTGGAATGGAGATAGAAAATACATAAGTGGACAACAGAACAGGAAAAATAAGATTCTAATTTTGGGGAAAAGTTCAGGAATTTTCTGCCCATGTTCTTGCTTTTGCAATTATTCTAAGAATACTTAATGTTATCTTGTCATCATTAGTTAACAATCTCCTGAAGACAGTCAAGAATTACAAGTTTTCTACAAGATTATCTGAGAATAGAGACAAAATTACTAATGCTATTCATCTCCAAGTCGATAAAGTGAGTTAGAGGGTTTAACTTAAAATGAAAAAAGTACAAGGAAAAGGAATTCTTTCTACTTTCTGACAACTGTATTCACGATTAGTAATTATTATTCTGTATACTAAACCTACTTTCTGCCTCTTCCTTTGAATGCCCAATGGGAATGGGGTGGGGAAAAGGACCATCACAATTTGTATGTAAGAAACAAAGCCTATCATTTCTCTCATTGAATCTTCTGGCTTATTTGTTACAACTTCCCTGACCTCAGTCAGGCATTGCTTTTAGAGAATAGTGGCTTGCTTTTGTTTTATGAAGATTGTTTTAATGCTATTGAGTTTGCTTTTCCCAGTTAATATATCACATTGGAAACTGTTTTAGGTGTATTTTACAGACATAAGGCAGAGACTTAAACTATGATTGTAATCAATGTTTTTGCTTGAGAATTGATTTATATGATCAACGTTTATAATGGGAAACACCACTTTTAAAAGACCAGACTTTGAGAAAGCTCCATTATAAACACTGTATCAGTGTCCTACAACCGTAACCCATCTCAACACTGGTTGGGTACAGCTATTTACAGTTTTCAAAACCATTATTTCTTTGTAACCTCATAATGATCCTTTGATATATAATGAACCACTGCACCCTCACTCTTCCCAAGAAGCTTTTAAGCCCTTGCATCGACTCTTTGCTCCATGAAAACAAGTATTTGTATCGATGTGTAAATTTTAAAAGTTCTAAGCTGGAGTGGGTATTAAGAGCTAAGTGCCATAGTTCTTTCCAGACTTGGAACAAACGCGTTAACAAGGAATGAGACTCCTACCAGGAGTCCTATTGCAAGGAGCTGTGTTCACTGAAATATCAGGAACGAATAATAATAATGATGATGATGATGATAATAATGATGATAAAATAATAATAATAATAAATAATAATAATAATAATAATAATAATAGACTCAGGCAGTAAGATGAGGCTCTTCAACAAAGTTTTCTCTGACTTTCTCTCACCTGATTTTGAGTAAGCGGAAGTACTAGGATGAATCAGGAGAGATCAATCAACCACCCTCCTGTCCGGGAAGGAGTAAATATCGTGGGTTAACTTTTACCCTGACAACAGAAAGTACCATACTGGAGTCTCTGGGAGAGAAAAAGACCCAGACACCCAAGACTAGAGCCACAACCAGCACAGCCACTTTTCCGGAAGCTCCGCCCAGGTTTACACCACGCCCCCTCGCCCAGAGCCCAGAACTGATAGAGAACTACATTTCCCAGAATGCAACTAAACCTCATTGCAGACCGCCTATAAGTATGCGGGTGACGACATAAACCAGCGCGGTGTTTAGACTTCACTGATGTCGTGGCGCTCAGAGGCAAAAAGTTGGTTCTCTAAGAGGCCCTGGGACTGAAGCCGCGGTCCGGCGACCCTGGCCCTTTCCTACCCACTCCTCCTCGCCCGCCTTTCCCCCTCCCGGCAGGATGAGGCGTGCAGGCCTGGGTAAGAACAGGACTGAGGTTCGAAGTTTGGGCAGCCTGGGACCTGTGGATCCGGGAGCAGGGGCGAGGGAGGAACTCTGCCGGCCTTCTGTCAATGACTCTGGGGTTGGAAGGCGAGCTGTGTGGGTTCTTTGAAGGAGGTGCCCAGTGGAAGCGCATCATTTGTCCCAATTCTGAGCAGTTTAGTTTAGAGGAAAGTTTTATGGTAAGTTTCACAGAGTGGCGAAGTATTGGTAGTCTAGGTTTTTCTTGCTTTATCTGCTGGTTTGGGAAGTAGCTGTGTTTCCTTCCTAGTTCTGGTCCCTTTTCTTTACCCATTCTGGAACTTACTTTTCTTCGAAATGACATTTGGAGAGGGGATGTTAACGCCCCAGCTCACTAATGATGGTATCTTAGTATGATTGCAGCGAGTGACAAAGGTAAATTTACACGTCATTATTATCAAAGTGCCTGTTGTCAAGGTCTGGGTCAAAGGCGATTGGCCCGGAATATTTCTGACCTAGACCTTGTCCCTCTGTTAAGGCAATAGACGGTGGTAAGTTTTGATGACTTAACACTTGTTCTTGCCTTTATGGATCAGGAGAAGTAATAACAAAATAATCAGAATAGCATTTTCTGGTTCTGACCTCCTCTATTAACATGGTTTTTGTTGTTTTTAAGAAGGACAGCATGCTTGGGGGAAAAAATGAATGGAACATTGAATAGGATGTTACCATTCTGTCATAAGTTGGAAAATTGTACAAAACAAAAAAAAGTGTTTAAGAAAAGTTTTAGGTGTTTAAAGCCAGTCAATGAACAAACACTTAAAACTAGCCAAGGAAAATAAATAAAGGCTATTTTGCAGCCCAGAACTCACTGCTTGGTATGAATTTTGATTGTCTTGAGAAGTAATACAATACTCGTGACAGTTCAGAGAGATACTGGTATTTTTAATAAGGTTGGTTATAGGAGTAGAGAGTGGGTAATTTAAAACCATAGAAAAATAATGGCAGTGAAAGGCAATAGTAATATAGACTTAGGAAGATATCGATGAATAGTTGCATGTGAAAGAATTTATAAATTGAGCTTCTTGAAAGCTTGCAAGTACTGGAAGAAAGTAGTCCATGTCAAATAGCCTAAAGAACTAATTTCAAACAAGATTAGTCTTATATGCCTGAATTCTTTCATCACTAATGGCAACATTTATTGCAACATAAGCTTTTGTGGGTGACCATTTGTGACCCAGGGTGTACTTCCCAAAGTGTCCAATGTAACTGAAGAGCAGGGGAAAAAATGCTTCTGCAGTAGAAGACAAATTATGATCCAAGGTGGTAATTTTTCAGCCCAATATCAATTAAGTTAAACAGATAGTGAATTCAGTAGAGATTTAATCATACATGGGTCATTGTCTACTTTCTGGAACCAGAGGAACTCAAAGGGTGCCTTTGACAAGAGGGAATGGGAGAAGTAGGTTCCAGATGGGAAGATGACAAAGATTCAGGAATAGAGTTACAAATGATGTGTACAAGAGGTTATGGTCATCAGGTCTCTTTGAAGCTAGGGCCCTGAGGCACTCTGAAAATCTTTGTCTGTCTAAGGAGTTTACATTTTAGCAGCAGGCCTGGCCTATTGAGATGTTGTTTGTGCTGTGCTGTTTTTATTACATGCAGGGCAGGGACTTGACAATAGGTTCATAGCTTTGATTGTAAAGATATTAAATAGATTTTCATTAACTAAGAATCACTAGACTGCAGTCCCCTCCTGATTCTTATTAAAGTGCCTGTGCAGTCTAGAAGTGGGTAACTATTAAAGTCTGTTATTACTTACATTTCTGTAAAGTTAGGAGACTTTTTAAAGTACCAATGTGTATTTACCTGAAATTTTAAATTTGAAATAGTGAACATGATAAACAATCATATGTAAAAATTTGATGTTAAATAAATTGCCCTGATTATTGATAGAACATGCTTCAAAGAAGCGCTTTTCAGAAATGACTTGGGCTGAAGATGACCTTCAGGCCTTGTTTTTCTACAGCTCTTCATGGTAGTAAGTAATTTTCACAGAACAACAATGGAGTCAAGTTTGATAGGAAATTTTATTTTAGTTTTAGTTTTCTGCATTGGAGTAGAGGATTGGGAAGGAGAAGAACAAACTAAACTTAAGATTGGCCAGGAAGTCAAAGCAAAAGAAATAAAACACCTATTAATTTTAATAGAGTTATCCAGTGATTACCTTTAGCCATTCCAAAATTGCTTACTGGTCAATATGTCATACCCAGCTCCGTAGTCACATAAAACAAGCTAAAGGTCTTGGATCTTGTTGGAGTTTGCTCAGAATATTTTAAGTGGTGATTTTGGTTGGTGAATGGGAAGAAATGATTATGCCCAGTTCAACAGCTTGTAATTTGTTTGAAAACATGTATTGAGAATTCAATGTTAGCATGCCAGTAGTTGGTAAGAAATTTGAGTATGTAACTGTCCCATCTGTTTGGAATATTCAACATTTTGTTGTTGTGGATTTTGTGGTACAAGGAGAAATGTCTGACACATAGATAGCACACATTATGTATGGGAGGAAATAGAAGCATGAGACACACTGCTTTTGACAAAGTTGCTTAGCAGTAAATTAAAATTGTATTCTTTACTCAGTTAATTTATAGGTATCCATTTAAAGTAAGGTTAGGGTGGTGGTAGTATGTGTGTGTTTATGGAGATAAAGAATGATAAATGAATAAATTTAGTTTATGCTCTTACAGTTCAATCTCAAGGTCAGTGTTGATGTTATACAGTCAAAGCTGTAAGGATTCAAGAGTTTTGCTACTTTAATAAAATTAAATTGGCGCCATGCTTTGAAAGAGTATTTTATTCAGACACTAACCATCCTTCAGCTGCAGCTACTAGACTTCCTGCCACCCACTCTCTCAGCTATTCCTATTCTTCTTCCTACCATTGCTACTCCATTGGCAATCTGAGCCTATGGCAGCCTATAGCCTGTGCCTTTCTTCTACCTTCTTGAGTCACTAGAGAAGGTGCTTCCATCCATGGACAATCTAGTCCCTCTAAAACATTCTGCATTCTTGTCAAACCGTTTCAAAGTTTGGGGTGTCTTGTTCTTCTGTAGTCCCAATATTAAAATTTCCAGTTCTAGGTCCATCCAACAGTGAGGCTTCTCAATGCCTGACTAAGACCAATGAGCCCTTCTGTTGAGAGGTCCCATATCTGGAAAGTCAGAAGCTAATACAGTGTACTGCCACAGCCATGGTCAATTTATTCTCCTAGAAATCCTGAATGGTTTTAGTCACTGTTCTTTATGATTTTCTTTGTTTTATTCTAAATTCTTCTTCAATGTGTAGCCCACTTTTTTCCTTTACTAAGAAAATGATGTCATCAGTTTATAAAAACTTGGTGAAATAGTACCCTCAGTCCCAACACACCTATGTATTATTTGCTGGATGCTCACTGTACCTGTTGTTTTCCTGATGACTGTCAAGTACTGTGGTAGACAGAGTAATAGGGTGCTGCATTTTCCAAACCATCTACCAGAATTCAAGTTCTGTAAACATCGCAGAAAAATAGAGTTGACACATGGTAGCTTCTTGAATATATGTTGAAAACTGAGTGAAATTCTTCAGAAATTTCTGCTAATGGCCTCTACAAGTCATTGCATCTCTTTCCTTGGTTTTCACTTATGGTTTCCCCTCTACTTCCCTTTGTTTTTCGAGACAGGGTTTCTCTGTGTAGCTTTGGAGTCTATCCTGGCATTTGCTATGTAGACCAGATTGGCCTCTAACTCACAGAGATCCAACTGCTTCTGCCTACCAAGTGCTGGGATTTAAAGGTGTGCACCACCAATGCCTGGCCCACCATTTGCTTCTTATAAGTGAAGGTTGCTAGTAAAATAAACACCATCTTTCTGCCTTTAGAACCCCTTCCACATTTTCTTCCCCGCCTTTCCTCTTATAGTCAAGCTTTTCTGATGGGTAGATGGTTTGTTGTTTATGTCCTATATTAAAACATGTATTTCTAGTGTGCAGGAAAATCCTCCCAAATATTCTTGTGTATCAATGTCTATTTCAGTGTCTTTTAGGCAATCAGTAAGTGATCAATAAATGTGTATTGAGGAAACTGCATACTTTGTTTAAAAGAGGATATGAAAATAATTGTTATATCTCTGGTTCTGATTTTTTAAAATTGATTTGCAGTGTGACTGTTATAGATATATATATATATGGTCTGCAACGCCCTTCAGGGGTCTTTTTCAGTTTTTTTTAACTACTAAGCTTTCGAAAGTAGCTTCTGTTTTTGCAATCCTTCACATGTGCCTCTGATCCTTGTAGGTGAAGGAGGACCTCCTGGCAACTATGGGAACTATGGCTATGCTGGTAGTGGCTATAATGCCTGTGAAGAAGAAAACGACAGACTCACTGAAAGTCTGAGAAGCAAAGTGACTGCCATCAAATCTGTAAGTACAGAACCAGGGCTGTTCACACTTGACTTGTGTATTCGAACTTCCTGGCCTCATGGTAAGCAACTCATTTGAACACTTGCTGTGAGGTCAGTGTGCACCAGAAGTTCAGGCTACCTGTTAAGTAAGACGGTGTGGCAAGTTGAAAGATAGGGTAGTTTTGTTTATTTTTTTTCTCAAACCTTAATTGTGTATTTAGCAAAATCTATATATTTATTGCAGTGGTTCAAACAGCCAGTCATGCTTTCTATGTAATTTTAGGTCATAGATAATTCTAATTTGTAATTTTCCAATTTGTTAGTATAGTAAAGAAAACATACTTAAAATAATCAGCCTAGACTTATAATCAAAGAATTGCCCATATTTTGTTAGGAAAATATTAAATGTGTATGTGTGTATTTGACTTGTTCATATGAATACTTGTACATTGTAAAATGTAAGGAATATATAGATGAAAGCATTTAATTTATATGAATAAAAGGGAAAACAAAGTGTGCTAGAATAACAGAAACAGAATATTAATAAGTAGGTTCAATATTATAAAGAAGAGAAGAGAAAGAATGTCACTGTTTGAAGGGGGAGCAAATTTACATTTGTTTTGTAATAGTTTCATTGGAAATGCATCAGGAGAGCCACTGAAATAACCCTTCCAGCCTTTTCTGCTAGTGGCTTAAATATAATACATAAGTCATTTCACACTTAAATCTTTGAGCCTTATTTGAGTTATGAGCTTTCTCATATTTCTGTAACATGGCCATAATTTTTATGCATAGACCCCTGGGAGAATCTCTTGACTGTCTCAACTTGCCCTGGTCTACATGATTTTGTTACAGTCATCAGTAGACCTTTGTTAAAGCCCTCTCAGAAGTCTTTGGATTCCCATTGCTTAATAGATTAAATTCATCCTCTGTAGACCGATTGTGCTGTATGTTCTTCAGAGAGTGGCCCCAGCCTTTAAGAACGTCTCTCCAACACGTCCAGAATTCATATGGCTTTGCTGCCAGACAACTGAGAGTTCTCTTTTGTTCTCTGCATACTGTTGCCCCTATTCGTATTTTTAAAGTCAAACTGTGTCATCATCTTCCTCCTTTGAAGTTGTCTTCTTCATGAAAGGCTCCATTGCTACATCTGCCTCTCTCCATGCTTTATCTCAGTATTATATCTAGTTTTAACTCCTATAGACCTAAGGTCATTTAGAGCATGCAGTATAATTCCTTCTTAGAAATACTGAGTAAATTTTTGTTAAAGGGATTAAACAAAGTGATTTAAAAAATATGTCATTGATTCTTCATTGCAATAAACATGCTATACACTTGTGAAGCATTTAGTAGAATCTCACATTGTCACATGGAATTGGTATTTAATTTCAATCATGGAAAAATTAGATTGTTTCCAGCTTGTACTCACAATATGGTATTGTTTTCAAAGTCATATTAATGAAAATGATTTAATCTATTATATATGTATAATGTTAAGAAGTAAGAAACATAATATTGGCAAGAACAGAGTTGGATGTCTTAAAGAAAACCCTGTAGTGTTGATTATTGAACTTCCATGTTAGAAGACTGGAGATTCCCTTCCTTGGCATGAATGGCATGCTAAAGTAGTTGGGTGAGTTGGGCTGCCTGCTTTGCTGTCTCTGATTGGATGAATTTGGAGGAAAGGCTTATCTGATCTCCATAATTTTAGTATAATTCCATATATGGATTTCACACAGATTAAAATGAGAACATTTACAGTTGTTCACAAAGAGCTTCAGTAATTAATTGTATTTATTTAAGCTTCTTAGAAGGAAAACCTCTGATGAATTTGTTGTAGAAGGTATGAGGTATAATTTTGCATAGCAGCTATAATTATACTGTTTTACACACTCAAATTCTTTCTATATAATTTTAGGTTATAGGTAACATTAACTTTAAGGGTTTTTCCAATTTATTATTATATTGAAGCAGAAGTCTTTAATGAATGTAGACTTATAGTCAAATAAATGTCATATTTTCTTAGGAGAATACTAAATAAATATGTCTGTGGTAGAACTGGTCATGTTGAGTAGTCATGTTTACTAAAATATAAGAAAGGAATACTTTTATATGACTGAAAAAAGCAAAAACGTGGCATAAAGTATGCTAGAATAAAGGAGGGAGGTGGAGAATATTAGCACAGAGATTGGATAATAGGAAGAGAGAAGAGAATATGTTCATTGTTGGAGGAGAAAAATTTTAAGGTTATTTTCCAATAACTTCACTGGACAAAGTGTCAGAAGAGAGTGTATATTTCTAGAACACAGTTTCATCTGAGAAGTTAAATGTGCTTAGCATGGCATTGTTGCTTTTAGTTTATCACTTTTGAATGCCTCCCTGTAAGTAGTAATGTGTGTGCTTCCTTCTTAGCTTTCCATTGAAATAGGCCATGAAGTTAAAAATCAAAACAAACTACTAGCTGAAATGGTAAGACATTACAATTTAACTAAGAAATTACAACTAATGTTTTCAAGTTTAGTGTGTTGACCAGGTGTAAGGAATTACATTTTTAAAAGCATCTTTTTTGTTAACAACTGTATAAAGTTATAATTTATCTGCTGTCTAATCCTTTTTAAAAATAATCTTTTAATACATTCTTCAAGAATTTCCTATGATGTATTTTGAGTATATTCAACTCTCCTGGCTCTTCCTCTTACCTCGCTCCCCACCCCCATTCTTCATTTTTATCCTGTTAAAACAGAGCCTGACATTGTAAATCTTAATGGATTCACTCCATTTTTAGCTAATTAGTTTATAATATCTATCAAATGTATTTTTGCATTGTTCTTGTCTAAAATGTAAATAAGAAGTAAAGATTGAAGCCAATGTATTTTAATCCTGGGTATAAAGCACTGTTAAAGACTGAAGGCTAATGGCTATTTTGAGTGGTCTTAGAAATCATAATGGGTAGACCACTAATAATTTATTAACTAGGCAATCAAAAAGCACTTTATCTGCAGCCAACTAAATGCTTTTCAGTTAACAGATGCATACTCCTTTAGCTCTGGTTCCTAAGAATTACCGCTGAGCAAATCCCTCAGATTTGCATAGACGTGGTCCCTTTATTTCTAGTGGAAACAAGCTCAACAGCACGCACCTTTTCTTCTCAGAGCCGCCTTCCAATCACTAATGCTAACTTTGGATACCCGGCTTTTCTAGACGCCCCCCTTTGTTTCCTCACACACATTCAAAAACAACCATGTAAAACCAAGTACAGTATTGAGAGCAGTGGTCTTTGAAGATGGATCTTCCGGTTTCTCCTTTAAATAAGCTCATTCAAAATCTCCTGGAGAGGAGCCCAGGCATATGTAGTTTGTGAAAAGCGTCCAGGTGGTTCCAGTGCACGGACTCCCATGAAGAAGTAGGGGTTTCAAAGCGGGACCTATGTGGAGACTCAGCTCCGCAGAGCCTCATTGAGTGGTCCCTTCTCATCTCAGGGTACTGCGATTCTAATGCAAGGGCATGATTTCTAACCTGGGCTAGTCTACTCATCTTAATGGCTTCTCTGGCTCTATTTGAATTTGGCATTTTTCATGTATGTATTTAAATCCTCTCCACTTATTGCTACATCAACTTTTATTTTCTCTTAACTTGTAGTAAATTTCTCTGTATTTCAAAGTCATTTGTCTAAACAAAAGGCTCTACCGTTTCTGTGCTAACAATATTAAATTTTAGCTGAAGTCCTAGTATCTGAACACTTACACATTTGACCTTGGGAAAATAGTTCCATACAGAGAGCAGACAAAGACATGCTGTATAGCACATAAATGACTTGCCTTTATTGTTAATGGCTTTTTATCTATATAATTGAAATAAGGACCCAAATCGTTTGAGTTTTTTTTTAATTACGCTCAGGAACTGAAAGAAATGCTTATTGGATAATGAAAGAGCCACTGAGAAAACTGCTGTATTTTGCATGGAGTAATCAGGTTGATTTCCCAAGCTAGTAAATAGATACTTGAATTGATTAAACATACAAATTATCTTTAAAATACATACTAATATCCATATGTAAATTGCTTGAATGAGCATGTGTAGAATATTAGAATTTATTTTGTTTTTGTTACTCTCACAGGATTCACAGTTTGATTCTACAACTGGATTTCTAGGTAAAACCATGGGAAGACTGAAGATTTTGTCCAGAGGAAGCCAAACAAAATTGCTATGCTATATGATGTTGTTTTCATTGTTTGTCTTTTTTGTCATTTACTGGATTATTAAACTGAGGTGATTTGCAAGTTAGTGTGGTCTTGGAATCTGTTGCAGTTAATGTCTTGGGGTTCCACTTTGATAGCCAGCATCCCAACATTCTTAATGACCTTTTTCATTGAAGATTACTGGAGCTTTCCTCTTTCAGAAATCATACTATACCATATAATGTTTTTTGACTACTGTTCCCTATTGACTCATTTTGATCCCTGTTTTCAGGGGTATTGAAGTAGCCTGAAGTCATTGTGACTGTACCAATGTTTTCCAGTCAGATTGAATACCAATATCATACTCTGTTGTTATGTAAGTAATTTTCTGAAGCAAGTGGGAGAGCAATAGCATGCTAGAGGACCTGACTTCAACTTTTGTGGTGGTTGTTGGATAGTAGTGGAATGTTCTCTTTCTTTTGCTTGAGGTCATCATTGGGATGTTGGGCTTTCCCTTACTTGTTACCATATAGGTACGAAGTTCCTTTTCCCTATGATTTTTTTTAATAAGTTTGTTCATGTGAATCCTTCGTATAAAGACTTCCTTGAGTAAAGCTGTTGACATATTTCTATGGGAGCCTACTATATATACATGTGTATCAACTTAGGTATTTTTTTATTTTAATGATAAATTCCATTGACCTGCTTTAGAATAGTTTTCTGGTGTCTAGCTGCTTAGGTGGAACATTTGATGATTATTTGTGTCAGAATAATGTGAAGCTCAGTGATTGTTAAACCCTGTGTAGAAATGAAATGTTCAGGAAAATCAATCGCCTTTGTTTTCCCATGTGCTCAAACAGGGACTGAAAATATGCAGGCATCGAATCCAGACTTCAGAGGATTGTTGTTCTGCTCCATTTTACTTGCTTACAGAAATCAAAACGCAAGGTGGATTTAAGTAAAAAATAAATATTCAAATATTATAAACCATTCTGTATTGCTCCTACTTTAGACATTTGCCTATTTCTAAGTTCAAATAAACTTTTATGAAAATATATTTGTGGCTCCTTAAGTGTCTTATATTATTGACACAGAATCTAAGAAATATCCCCCCAAAGCTCAGATTCCAAACAAAATCAATCAAAATGAACATCCTTATTAAATCAGAACAAGTAATCAAATTTTGACTAACTTCAAAATCTTTTAATTCTATTTTTACTCACAAGTCTATGCCTCTGGGCTTGAATGAGTTTTCAATTCTTTTTGCTCATGTGTGGTTTGTCACTTGAGTTCCAAACACTAAACTTGCGTTCAGTTAGGTGACATAAAGAGACAGGGCAGAGGGGGAGGGAAGAAATGCTAGTGTGATTTAGATGTTGTGCCTTCCAGTCACCACACCTTCTCCATTTGTTTGAGGCTTGTAGCCTCTATTTGTTCATAAGGACTGTGAGATATCCCTAAGACAGCAGAGAGGAAAGCTCCTGACTCACCAGAGGAAGTGCTATTCATGTCCACACTCAATAACTGTTCATTATTTTCAAAGTAAAGCTTCAGGTCTTGAGATGATGATACAGCCTCCAAGCAGATACTTTTATTAGGCAGTCAGAGTGTGACTCATTGATTCAAGAGATTTTTAACTGCCCTCTGCCAATTGCTTGACATTAGAGCTTAGTACTTAGAAGTCACCATCAGTAACTTAAGTTGTAGTTGGGATTTTCCAAATGGAAACATCAAGAGTATGTAGGATATGGTAGAAACACTTCTACAGCATCGTCAATATCACATTTTTATTTTTGTGGAGAACTAAGCCTGATATTACCTATTAGTCCTATATGGACTGTGTGCTGAGAAGTCTGCAGGCAGGGATTCTTCTGGAAGTACTCGCCCCTACTGCTCCACTCAGGATCCTTGGCCAATATTGTTTGGAAAAATTTAAGAAAAAATATTCTTGTGAATCAGTTTTGGGGAAAATGTAAAATAAGAAAAGGTCCTGTTAATAATAGCTTACATGCTCGTTGCTAATTCTCTAAAAGATGTGTGGTATTTTTAGAGACTATGACTGTAATCATAGGTTTGATAAACTTCATATAATCATCTTTATTTGAATGGCCTGAGACTACTCGGTGTCTGCATGGTGTATCAGACAGTAGATACCACTATGTTACATGGCAAAACAATTCAGAAAGCAACTTGTAAAAATCTCAAATGTCCATGTTTTTCCTAAAACTTAATTTAATTCACTAGATGTTGTTATTTAGAAATGTAGCAAACATTTGCAAATAATAGAAAGTTCAATTTATTCTTATGGATATAAGAGGCCTCTCTGAGTAGGAAGAGATGAACTACATATGTTATTTGTGACATTTAATTTATACATATCTTGAATAGTGTTTGCTCAGAGAATCATTTACATCTGATATGATATTTTGAGGCCGAGCTAGAAGCTTATAGTGGAGAGCCCTGGCACCCACATCCATGCAAACCTTCCAGCTCTATAAAATTGGCTTTCCCATATTAGGTTTACTTAGTGAGGAAGCAAAAATAATGCTTGATAATTGGAGCTCAGTCATCAGACTGTATTGATGGATAAATTTACTGGCACACAGAACTGCTTCAGAGCTAAACTCTGGCTACACCCTCCTTATTTCAAGCTGATAACCCATTCGCCTCACTGTGTTTGTGAAACAGGAATCAACATCACATACAGAAGTGGTGTGCTCTGGAGCTTTCTGTGACAACTGGGTGGAATCCCATTGGCAAGAGTCTCAACTAGGCACTTGGCAGGTGTTCTTTGTTGAAGGTTCTTGGGATCTGATCTGTCTCACCATCTCATATGTGCTGATGGATTTTGGCTTTCTCCTCCCACTGGCCTCCCAATAGCAAAAATACCTCTTTTCTAGGAATTTTCTGGACTTTTACATCATCAGCAATCTAATGGAATTGTGTTTTAATCTCTAGCCAGTTTTGACTTAATAGAGTGAGAACAAACCTTTCAACATTCTAGAAACAAATGTTTAATGTGAGAGCAATAGAAAGTTGCTGAATTGTGCAGTGCCAACCTACCAACCTTTGTTTAATCTTCAATATGATTAGAAAATTAGAAATACGAACAAGATGCCTTTAACTGAACAAGTCAAAGATGGTAGATCTGACTTTTAAAATTAATGTTAATTCTAACCCTTGAAACTAAAGTATAACTAAAAATATAGCCACATTTGTATTTTAAGGGTCTGTATTCTACAGATTTTATGACACACAAAACATTGCTTTCAATGAATTTAGTCACCTTTGCAGACCTCAACAAGTGTCAGTACTATACAATTGTACATAGCTGGAATTTGCAGATTTCAATTAATGCTATGCTTCTCCAAGTATCTATTCCTGTAATATGGCTCATAGGAATGTACAGCTGAATATGTGTGGATTCTTTGATGCCTGTAATAAATTTAAAAATGAGCAGAAAAATGAAACATCTTTTCAAAATATATAAAACATGCTAATATATAAAAAGTTTTAAGTCATTGATATAAACTTTAAAAGAATACAATTTTCTTTTCTCCTGAATCCTTTTCTCATTTGTCAGTAATGAACAAGTTCTAGAAGCTTACAACTTATTAGACTTCTGCATTATTTAGTAACCATTTGCTTTAGAACACTCAGGATAAACTCTTCCTTTCAGGGAAATTAGATGAGTGTTATATGCAATACCGTGTTTCAGAGAAATTATTGAAATAAAGTGCCTTGGACTCTTGCAGATTTTATGCCTGATTGTTTAAAAAGCCTCCTTTTAACATTTTAATTTCAGACTTAAATTCATATTGAAAGACATTAGAGGCAAGTTGCTTTTCTTTACACACACGCAAAACAATTATAAGATGTATAACTGTGATGAAGTCAACTAAAGAGATTCATACTGTTAGATTAAAACTCTTTCAATACCTAGTATATTATCTTTTAGATTATTGCTTTAACGACAAGCCAATTTCAGAGTGGTATGTGCTAGTTAGCTTCATTGAACTGTTTACTTTGCATTTATTTCTGGTGACTAAATAGTTTTAATTTAATTGTGTTATTTCTAGAACAGATTTTAATACTCAGAGAACTTTTATTATAAAGTGACCAATGGAATGTAGAAATCCTACTTTTATTGATGACAGTGGTTTGGCTGGGTGGAAACCGAGTATGAGGGACATGGAATAATGATCCCATCAGCAGTCTGAAAAAAGAAGAGATGTGTGTTTATTTTTCCACAGCCAGTAATGTAAGGCTACTGGAGATGCCAGGCTCTGGCCTGTGAAGCCCAGACGGACACCACACATTGCAAAGCTTATTTGGCCAGCATACTGTTTCACAGTGCGTTTCTGCTCCTACCAAACCACTGTTCATCAGGGTACATCCTCTTAACTTTATATTTTTAATTAATTTAAACATATAAACAAAGCTAACTCATTGAAAACATTCTAATATAACATGAATGTTTATTTTTTTGTTTTTCATTTACCCTAACTCATAAACATACATCCATATTAGAACTGTAACATCACATATGTAAAAGTCACCTTTTCCTTATCTTTCCATATGCTGTTAGAACTTGTCTTTGACTTTCTAATTTTGATGAAGTAGTATATAGAAAATTTTGAAAATCAAGAATAAAAATGTTAGAGCTGAAGAGAATTCTCAATGGCTTCTAATATCTATACTTTTATGTATATAATCCAAGTTTCAGGTCTCAGCACACATATTAGCTCCAGGAGGGTCTGATGCCTGTAGCCTCTGAGAGCACTTGTGTTCATAGGCACATACTTATAACACAGAATTAAAAATGACAAAACTGCTTAAAATGTTTTTGTTGAATTTAGTCAGGAATAAAATCTTTGGGGTACACCAGTAAAGGGACCTTATGTTCAATACCTGTGCCTTCTGTCAATCAGTGCAATGTAGATACCAACACATGTTTGAGGAATAAATTAATGTTGGATTAATTATTCCTGCTAAAAAAACATATCTTTATTTTGTCATCTCTTACTAAAATTCCAGTACTGAGCGTATAGAAGGTCTGTAATTAAAAGGTGGGTTGCGTCAATAAAATAAATTTATAGCTGAGTTTTAAATTTTGAATATTGGAAGAACAACATATAGCCATTAGGTTAATTGCATTATGAAAATTTTTCTAATTTAAAATTTTTGTAGTCTCATAAAGCTATATGTGTGTTAAATTGAATGTCTTGTTTATAGGGTCGAGAATGGATGTGGCTTAAGCCCAAGGGGAAGAAAAATTGAAGAAAACTTCTAATATTCTTCCTCTTTGATCAAAATTCAATTTCAAGATCAATGACTACTCTGACCCAAGTTGATTCTATAATTAATAAACTCCATTCTAGGAAGCCTAAGTTTTCATTTTAAATAATAATAATAATAATTTAATTCTAAATAATAAAACTTTACTGCTGACCATAGGAAAGGTATTTGCATTTTATTCAAATCCCAACACTGTGGTGTGGGAAATATTAGCATAGACTAAGCCGTGTCCTCTCATTTCCTAGGGGATTTCACTGTCACACTGATGAAGGGTTTATTCAGGTGAATTAGTGAGGTTCATCACTGCTGTATGAAGTTAGGCACTTCTAGTCACCATGGCATCCATGGCTGGTTGGTGATGCAGTCATTCATTGGCTTTTCCCCATCTATTATCTGTTGCAAAAGATATCCAGAGGAAATAGAGGCTTCATTTTTCAGCTTTCAGAGCAGGCAATCTATTAATGAGTTCATGAAAGGCAAGTGATGAATATCAACAACTTAAGAACTCGCTTCTTTATGTCTACCATGAATTCTCAGAGCTTAAAATTCCTGAGATAATAGAACTCTGAGTTTCAAAGGAAGCATTATTTAATTAGAATATATTTCATAAATTCAAAGTTCTGACTTGCACATTTTTCATAGGTAAAATCAAAAGAGAACCAATAATTAAGTCCAGGGACTTCTCAGAGA